TTAGGCCCTAATCAGACTACGTACATAGAAAATCCAGTACAAAATCACATTCACACACTGGCAACATTTTTCCATGCCTGCATTCAGACTACACATTTTACATGCAATATACAGGCAACCTTTGACCCTACGAAATTGCGCAAGGGGCCTGGGATGTGTGAAAGCAGCGGACAGTCGTACCCGGGTACAAAGTTCGTACAACTGCCTGGTGAAAATACGATAAATGCAGGAAAGTTGCCTTGTACAAGGGTTGGCACCCTGCCTGAAAGGATTGGGCAGCTTTTTAGGCTTCCCGCCAGATTCTTGTTGTTGGCTTGGAAACTTCTATGTAAATGTGACTTATAGGCTGTTTTGTACCTAGTCTGAAGAGGGCCTAACACACTTGTATAGCTAGTAATATGGTTTTAGGTAGAAATACAGCAGCCAGCAAGTATAAAAAGCAAAGTCTACACCTTTCCTGGGTGTGAATATAGTGTATGTGAGAAAGGTAGTGGCAGATGAATGTGATACTGTGTGGATGAACGTGATGGTGCGTGCGTATTACTTGAAGAGTGTGAGTGTGAGTGATGAGTGGCACAGTATCACATTCAAGGCAAAAACCGATTTGCTTCATTGCACCCTCTGCTGTATGTGCTTGTGCCTATCATACTGCATGCGTGTGTTTTATTATCGCTCGTGTGTGTGTATGTGTGTATATAATTATATGTGCGTGTATATGTGTGTGTGTGTGTGTTTGTGTGTGTGTATATGTGTGTGTGTGTGTATGTGTGTGTGTGTGTATGTGTGTGTGTGTGTGTGTGTGTGTGTGTGTGTGTATATGTGTATATGTGTGTGTGTGTGTGTGTATATGTGTATATGTGTATATATGTGTGTGTGTATGTGTATGTGTGCGTGTGTATGTACGTGTGTACGTGTGTGTGCACGTGTGTGTGTGCACGTGTGTACATGTGCGTACATGTTCAGGAATTGTATTCCAAGATCAACTCGAGCAGTCAGGACAGTACCATGTTGATGCGCGAGTACTGCCAATCACTATACGCGTCACAGGTGAGAAGCAATGCCAGCTGTATGGGGAAGGGGCAGTTGGTTGGGGGGGGGGGGGGGGGGGCAATTGCCCCTCCCAAATTCTAGGTAAGCTTGTGAGCATGGCATCGCTGTTTTTTTATACGTTCACGTCTCTCTTATCCGACCAGTCTTGTTGAGCCAGTGCACGTACCGGTTGCCGGGAAAATCCCTAACTCGTAGCATACACGCATGGATATGGGTGCGTGCAGAGCAAGTGCGCTCAATGATCATGTTGGTGTCAATTCTCCGCCGTTTTCATGGAAACTGAGAGCGAGAGCCCACCGTTAGAATGAGGTGCCCGTAATTTTGAGGTCCGGACAAGGGACGTAGGGATACCGTATTTGCCGGAGTATAGCGCGCACCTTTGTATAACGCGCACCCTCAATCTTCAACCACAAATTCACACAAAATGGCTCTATTCGGCGTATAACGCGCAGTCAAATCGGGGATATTTGGTTCTGAAATTGATCTCGTCAAAGGATGGTGAAACTTAAGAATATTTTCCGGTAAGTCAGACTATGACTATGAAATTGATGGAATTACGAACTGTGAACATGAAACAACATTGTTTTTCCGTGGATGGTCTCGAACGTCGATGAACCTGAGCACTCGCTCCGTACGATACAGTGCATTGCGTGTATAGTGCGCACTTGAACTCTGGCACTTTTGTACTAGATTCTCGTATTCCGTGTTCTGTGCGCACTGCAGATTTGAGCTTCAAAATTCACTGCTCAGGGTGCGCACTATACACCAGCAAATACGGTATGTTCGATTGGTTGGATCCGGATCCCGATCGATTACCTGCGTCGTTCGCATCCTCCCAGGTCCAATCGAACAAATGTGGAGTTTTCAAGCCAAAAAGGTTGATTGGCAAAAAGGATCTGTTGGATCCGGTGAACCCTGCTCCCCGAGGTGGGTTGGCTGGATCCGTATCCGGATTCAACTAATCAAAAGGGTGCATTTCCAGTGGATCCGGCTAATCTAGATCCGGATCCAGCTAATCCTGATCCGTATCCTACCAATCGAACATGCCCTAAGTGTACCTGAAATATGGCCTTAATATTAGGGGTGAAAGGAATATTCGAATTATTCGAATATTCGAAATATGCAAGGCGGAAAAAGAATATTCTTCGTTAAAGTAGAATAGGAATATTCGTAAATGTACAGAAACTTGCCTTTTTGACATCAATCAAGCTTATTTGGTGCAGAATAGAAGTAGGCTTGCCTCTTTCGATGTGTTATAATCAGCAAGACAAATGATTTTTCAAATGTCTCTCTTGTAATTGGGGTGTATGCCAGTTAATGGTCAATGGTTTCCATGGATAAAACTAGGTATCCATGGAAATTGGATGGTTTAGAATATTCGGAATATTCTTCGTTTCGCATGTATTCGGAAAAAGAATATTCGTTCGCTTCATTGAGCATTCGTTTCAGCCCTACTTAATATTTCCTCCCGGATAATTGGACAAAATCAAAAATTGCTTTCCAGAAACACTGGAATTTTCCCTGGTGGGAATGACCGGGGCTTCCCCTCGTCTGTGTCATTCATTGCTGTGCTACTGCTGCTGTTATCTGCAGCTCTCAGTTGATCTCGAAGAGGTGTGTTCATTCGGCACTGTCAGCATCTCAATAGCCTACGACTTTGCGGACACGGATCTGGCTGTTACGAGTAAGAGTATCATACGTTGTGAGATGACCTTGAGTGTGGTAGTCTTACATTTCAAGTTGACCTTGAGCATTTTAATCTTACATTTCAAGTTGACCTTGAGCATTGTAATCTTACATTTCGAGTTGACCTTGAGCATTGTAATCTTACATGTTGAGGTGAACTTGAGTTTAGCACTGAGCCTTGGCTTGTCCTTAATATAGAAGTTGAGTGTGAAACAATAATCTGAAACGTGAACATTTCAAGTAAGTGTTACAATTTTAGCGTGCTCTTGTGGGTTGGTATTGGTAATAAATCCTGCCTATTTTTTGCCTATTCTCTATTGCATTGCCCCTTGTACAGTTCTTCATGCGAAGGGATTGCCGCCATTGGATGCAGGATCAGGTACGGAGCAAGAGTTTGGAATGAACTGCTGCACTTTCTCGGAACGAAAACAATGATTTTAGACTTTTTAGTACATGTACATGTACTGTGGGGTGCTAAAGAATAGCGGGGAGGGGGCCGGGGGGGGGGGGGGGGGGGAAGAATCATAGCCTGAGCCATTCTTATGTTTCATATAGAACTGTGCATATACAGTTGCGCTCGCTGAAATCCGACCAGAAACGCAAAGCTGGCACCCGGCCTGGACCAGTTCCGATTGCATCACTGTACTTGAAGAAGGGCTGAGGCTTCCTGCAGCTTCACCTCTGTACTTGTTCCTGTGTATGTGTACGCCCAGTCGCATTCGCACCCCTTCCGGGGCGTCAAGGGCTGTGCTAGTTGAGGGCGCCCGGATTTCACCGAGCACAACTGTAGTTGAGCCACCGTGCGCATAAGACTATCCTGTCAGGCGCGTAGCACCGCCGTCGGAAGGGGTCCGGGCCACCGGGGTATACCGCGGGAGATTTTAGAAATTAGGGTGCGCGATCCTGCATTCTGGGCACTTTTTGAAAAAGTGGTCTGGCCAAAGCCGGACCGGCCTGTCATGTCCTCGGGACTCTATTCACACTCGGCATGCATGGTCTCTCAAGCACCAGGCACATTAAGACACTCCGGTTTCTTTACATGATTAGTTAGACCAGAAGCAAAAGAGAACGACACCAAGAGTGCGCATGCTCTATGTAGAATCATCGCATACACACACACACACACACACACACACACACACACACACACACAGTCACACACACAGATCGAGATGAAGCACACATCATAATATTATGACTCAGCATGCAGCACATGTATACAACACGGCCGGACCGGCTGCTACACCCCTGCCTGTACCTGGTAAAATTCTAGCCTGTTCGTTCTTCAACGCCCGCCAGTACTGTTTCGCCTTTCTTTGCTGTCTCAGATTTGTGGGTGTTGTATTGTTTATTTACGGATTCTCCAGAGGTAAATGGAGTACAAGCACCGCATTGTGCTACGCACTGGTTCTGAGTGACGCTGGCCAAGCAGTTATACCATGCAACACAGTGTATTGAAGCAGTGTTGGCAGTATCTACAACGCCGGGTCTGGGGCGGGTACATGGGCAACATGAAAATACCCCAGTTTTGCAGATAATTAATATAATAATCATTATGGTTCTTGCCCGTATTACTTCTATTTGTTTATATGCAGTGTTCTCTCATGGCAAGTGCGATCCCTTCTTTGTGCTGACCCTGGAGCCGCAGGAGCTATTCCCTGCCATCGTCGAGCAGAAAACAAAGGTGCAGACGGAAACAGTGACGCCGCTTTACGACGAGACGTTCCATTTCCAGTGAGTCACACTATCGATGCTCATTGAGTCATTTCCTGGCTTTGCTTCTGCACGGTGCTTGCAATCTGACACCTTCCTGTGCAGCGCTTCTACGCTGGGGCTGAGCATCTCGTTTCTCGACTTGGGTATTGGAACGCTTCCTTGAGAAGTTTGTCCCGCCTGTGTCCCATCGCCCTTGCTGTGGACACGTGTCCTAGGAGGCCAGCTTGCTAGTCCTGGCCACAGCTGGGGTTTTTTTTACATGCCATGTAGCTTTCAGCATTCATGCTTGGTGCTCGGTAATGGTCCACGTGTATAGGGAGTGGCGGACCGTGTGACAATGCTAGTACTAAATCGACCGAATGTATGCCTGTTGGCGTTATCGAGAACACCATATTGAAGGGGGGGGGGTGTAGATATCGTAGAATCCTTAGTAACCAACGCTAACTTAACCTTGCTTGTGTTCTGTTCAACTAATTACTTTGCGTGTGTTCTGTTCAACTTTGCTTGTGCTCTGTTTAAGAGTTTCCTCTGAGCTACAGAAGACGGCCGGGTGTTGTCTACAACTTCACTGTTATGAACGTGACCGCTTGAAAGGCAACCAGCTGATTGGTGAGTGTTTGCCGCTGTTCTTTGGGCCTCCTGGATTTGAATCCGGAGGAAACCCCGCTCTGTGCTCGTCATTAGTTCTTGATTGTTCCCCGCGGCCAGGCGCTATGGGGCCATGTGCCGATCAGTTGTCTGCCATGCGTTCTTGGGACCATATGCCAATCAATTGTCTGCTATGCCTTCTTCATGTATTCTATGCAGGCGAGGCCATTGTTCCAATCCTGCTGTCGGAGTTGGGCTGCACGAAGAGTGTGCGCGGCAAGACGCACGTTCTGCCGCTGTGCCACCCGCAGCTGTACCACGATGGTGCATTCAATGTGAGTGTCACAGTACAGTGCTTTGAGCGCCTTTTTGAAAGAGAAAATAGCTCTTTTGCGCACACACAAAAAAGAGTCATGGGGCCCTTCAGGGTGACCGATTGTTTTCTCAAGACAGAGTAGGTGGTTCATCGTTTAGGCTTTTTGCAATCTCATTCGTTATACAAGCACACGTGCCTGGCTAATTGTGATGAAAATTCCTGAAGATCGCCTCAAGAATACGTTCTGATAATTGGCTGGTATAGTATCAATGCAGGTGTAAATTTTTTTGTCCCAATCCTTATAGCGCAAAACTTTGTCATTTTGAATTTTTATCTTACCCTACCATGCATCACGGTTTCCTTGGCGGGTTGTGGCTTACGAACAAACCTCTTCGTTTCCCGTCTTTCTCGCCAGGTCCTGTGCACACGAGAGGAGTTCTGCAACGACGCCGCGAGCTTTCTAAAACGACGCCGCAAGGTGTTCCAGTCTGCCAGCGAAACGTTCGCAATCCTGGAGAAGCGCTCCAAGAAGAAAGGCTTGATGCGGACTTGCTCGGCTGTGCTGCAGAGCCACGAATGAATAGTGGTGCTGGTCGCCAGATCCCCTCACCTGCCCGACCCGTTCCCCAAGAACACGATATAGCAGCACTGCGCGGTGCAACGCTGTTGAACTCGTAATTCTCCCCAAAGTTGATTGATCACGCTCGTCTTTTCAGTGTGTGTGTGTGTGTGTGTGTGTGTGTGTGTGCGTGTGCGTGCGTACACGCGTGTGCATGAGCATGTGTGTGTTTTTATTACGTTATCTCCGTTTTGAAACATTTTTATTGACTACTTGTTGTACATCGGTTTTACAAAATTAATTATGATTAAACGGTGGGATATTTGCGCCGCTAGATATTTCCTAAAACGGTCTCTCCTACATTGCATGTACATGTACAAAAATGCATCGCCGAAGTTTGCTTGGCTTATTGTATGTATGCGCCTGGCTCACTATGTTTGTTCTAGAGTTGAAGGGCACTATCTGCTATACTCCTTTGGAGTTGGTATACGTCTGATGCAAATGCTAACCCCCCCCCCCCCCCCTGGTTCTCTTAATGCATGCGCTGCTTTTGCCACTGTTACATATCGTTCTTCGCTGAATCAATCTCTCACTTCGCTAGCCGGAGCTGCTCCATGTGCGTCCTTTATTTTGCTTGTATTTTTTTTAAACCGTGCCACTCCTCAGTTTGCTTTCTCCCCGCAAATTGTTTATGAATAGCAAACGTCGCCCATCACCTATTGTAGTGTCTATTTTCAGTATTTTCAAAGATTTTTTTCACGCAAATCAGTTTCTATAATAATATCCTGTAGCAGCGGACTAGCGGTAAGACGGAACACGTTGTTTTTGAGACTTTTGACTATGTACACTAGTATATGCTAAGCCGCCCGAGCTGAGCCGCTCTCGCTCATCTCCTCCGGCATCAGAATCCGCTGGCATGATCTTTCGCTCGGACATGCTTCCGGAGCTGCTGCTGACACCTATTCTTACCATTGATCATGAGCGTGAGTCCCGACTATGGGCTCTTGTTGATAATATCATTATAGATGTGTACATGACTGTACAATGTATGGACTAGCGGTAAGACGGAACACGTTGTTTTTGAGACTTTTGACTATGTACACTAGTATATGCTAAGCCGCCCGAGCTGAGCCGCTCTCGCTCATCTCCTCCGGCATCAGAATCCGCTGGCATGATCTTTCGCTCGGACATGCTTCCGGAGCTGCTGCTGACACCTATTCTTACCATTGATCATGAGCGTGAGTCCCGACTATGGGCTCTTGTTGATAATATCATTATAGATGTGTACATGACTGTACAATGTATGTGTTCATGTACAAATTCTGATAGCTCCATGCCATGGCTCTTCCCTGTCAGTCCTGGCAGGTACATGTAGATAATTATTATTATTATCGATTCGGGGCATTCTGCCCCGGGACCGGGTAAATTTTTTGCCCGTGTGAGATGTATATTCTGATGCCTAATACAGAATTACTTTGCTCTGTCTGAATTGCTGTGTTGGACGCTGCCGAGTGTGGCATATGGGTGGCCGCATGCTGGCATGGCTGGGAATCACTTGGCCGGACACCGATCAGTGCATGCGTGCGGGTTTATCCTGCACCGTGTGGCTTGGTCGGTACGGAAGCAGGGCATATTTTTCTCTCTCTGCCTATCACCCCTTCACGTAAACGGTGTACATAATCATGTAGTCCGACCCAGGGAGTCGTCGAAATTTGACGAATACATTATTTTGATGACTCCCTGGGTCGGACCTCAGTGTTCAGATCTACCCCGGGGTATGGCATCCAACAAGACTGTGACGCTTGAGTGGTCGGATTTACTGGTATTTTTTAAAACAGCCAGGCCAGGGTGTCGTAAAGGCCGTAAAATAAGAAGAGGATGCTCTAAGTTATTTGGTCTTGCTAGTTGCCACTGTAGTACCAAAAGCCCCCCCACACACACACGCAGAGCATAATATGAGCAGGGAGTGCATTATGCACTGCAGCAAGAGCACACATAAACCCCCCAATATTATTTGAAAACTCTGACGTGACGTGACGCGATATGGATCGCGATGCATCTCCGTTTCTTGTTTTTTGGTAGACATCTTTGTCGCCCGGGACAACGGGGGGGGGGGGGTGCGTAATAAATATGCCGCCTACATAATGTGTAGTCCCTGCATAGCGCATGCGCATGCAGTAGAGTGCATTATAAAAATACTAAAATTTTTAGTATTATTTTTTATAATGCACTCTTGTCTGCACGCATATGCAGGGACTACACAATCATTATGTAGGCATATTACGCACCCCCCCCCCCCCCCGTTGTCCCGGGCGACAAAGATGTCTACCAAAAAAACAAGAAACGGAGCTGCATCGCGATCGATATCGCGTCACGTCACGTCAGAGTTTTCAAATCTCTCAGAAAAGTCAGATGCAGAGTCCAGACTTGCTCGTACGCCCAGCGTCGTCATCATCTTTTCGATTTTTTGATCGAAAGAGTTGCAGCTTTGTGAATTTTTGTCTGCTACACAAAATAAGTTGCTGCAGATAGTCCTCCTGGTGGAGAAGACGGAATGTCGACTAGTGAACATGTATGCCCGTACGAGGGCTGTGGGAAATCGTTTCCGAAGCTGTGGAGATACGAGGAGCATCTCTGCTCGCATTCTGGAGAGGTAGGCGTCCGATTCGCCAACGGCGACGAGTGAAAAATATTCTTGCAGAAAATTTGCTTTTGTTCTCCTCTGTTCAGCGCAAGTTCAGTTGTTCTCACGAGGGCTGTGATAAATCATACGTGCGAAAATATCACTTGAAACGCCACGAGCAAAGTCATAATGAAAATCGCCAGTTCAAGTGTACAGAAGAAGGCTGCGATGCATCATTCAACTCCCAGCAGCATCTTCACCGTCACGTTGTTCAGCACCAGGGCCCCGCACCCTACAAAGTAAGGTTGGAAATGTACTGAGTAGCTTGTTAGCAGCACGGATAAGTGTTAGGAGCTATTTGAGAGATGACTGCGACACAGACAGCCTGCTGAATTCTGCAGATATCCTCCTCCTCGAAGCCAAAGAGCTTGGTTCTAGTTTGTGTGTGTGTGTGTGTGTGTGTGTGTGTGTGTGTGTGTGTGTGTGTGTGTGTGTGTGTGTGTGCGTGTGTGTATGTGTACATGTGTGAATGTGTGTGTGCATGTGTGTGTGTGTGTGTGTGTGTGTGTGTGTGTGTGTGTGTGTGTGTGTGTGCGTGTGTGTATGTGTACATGTGTGAATGTGTGTGTGTGTGTGTGTGTGTGTGTGTGTGTGTGTGTGTGTTTAATGCCGATGTACTCTGTGTGGTGTAGACCAGGTGTGCATTGGTGGTCGATTCACATGGCTTCGCCAGTTGTGTGGATTAGACAGTTATCTGGCGCAAGTCTTGATCTGTCTCATTCAGATCTTGTTCGCTATCGTTGCTACAAGAGAAAATCTGTGGGTGTACATCCAGTGCATTTGCAGATTTGCGTGCTTCTCTTGCGACGGGCGTATACATGGTACATGGTGTGTGTGTGTGTGTGTGTGTGTGTGTGTGTGTGTGTGTGTGTGTGTGTGTGTGTGTGTGTGCTGTGCTTTTAGGATGTAGTTGTACACTGGCCACTGTGGCCCATTGGACTATAGATCCACGTCTTGTTGCAATCAGTTTCTGCATACTGCTGAGGGTGATGATGATGTGTGTGTGTGTGTGTGTGTGTGTGTGTGTGTGTGTGTGTGTGTGTGTGTGTGTGCGTGTGCGTGTGTGCGTGTGTGTGTGTGCATGTGTGTGTGTGTGGTGTGTATGTGTGCCTGTTTATTTGACTCCTGTGCCACGATCTGCAGTGTACGCACCCAGGCTGCCCTGCTGCCTTTGCTAAGCGCAGTCAGCTGAAGACTCACAGTGTGCACCATGCTGAAGTGAAGCCGCACAGGTATACTAGTACTGTAGTACTCTCATTGTGATGTGCCTACAGTGGCCAGTCGTCGTATCTAGAGAACCAGTGCTGGTAGCATGTTAGAATTACATGTATGGAGGGTGTAGGATTAGGATATCAGATACCGGTACAGTCAACTTCGCCAATAACGGCTGCGGATGTAACGACGGTTCGCGAATAGCAACAGAATTTCCATGCCCAGAGCAAAGTCCCATCTACAGTGAAACCTGTCTAAGACGACCGCTCAAGGGACCTTGAAAACGTGGTCTCAGTTACCAGGTGGTCTCCTTATCCAGGGTCATTTGACTGGAAATAGCATCCCTTGGTCCCGGCTGCAGTGGTCTTCTAGGACAGGTGGTCGCCTTATCCGAGTGGTCGCCTTCACAGGTTTTACTGTACCTGTAATACATATAATGAGACTTTGCGAATAAGGACACTTTTCTGATGCCCCGCCGAGTGTCGTTATACGCTAAAGCTGACTGTAGTCGGGAGGGCAAGCAACAGGTTTTGGCCTGTTTATCATTATTTTAGTCTAAATAAATTCGCGGTTCGCGTGAGACTCGGTTGGAAACCGAGTTTTCCGCATCCGTAGGAACGCCACCAGCCTCAAGGATCAAGGCACAGATGCAGCAGCCACCGCTTTAGTCCAAACTAGGGGTTGAAACGTGAGCTCTCCGGCCGACCTCGTTCATCACATGAGCAGCATGACTCCGAGTTGTAGTAGATACTGGTAGATAGACTAGTACATACTGGCAACATGATACTGATATTCATAAGGGTTCTATGTGCCATGCGCTACTTGATGTACCAGCCTACTATGCAGGATACCGCCAACCAGGCGCCAGGCGCGAACTGATGATGGTGGTGGTGAGAAGGAGAGCTCTGTGCTAGAACTTTGCAGCCTAGAGAGCGTGTGTGGGCAGGCGTGTGTTTACCGCCATATTGCCGGGTGTGTCTTTACCACCATATTGGTCCTGCAGACACACTGTAAAACATGTAATTTTTGGCGTAGCTTTAATTTCGGTGATTTCGGTAGAGAAACCAGGCACCTAAATTTAAATTACACCTTACAGGCACTAGAGTATGCACTGTATGTGAAGGGAACGCTGGTCACCTAATTCTAAATTACACTTGAAACCTGGCAGGTCTCTGGCACCGAAATTTTAACGCACCTAAAATTACATGTTTTACAGTAGATACATGTGATACTGTGGGTGCAAAAGCACTCTGGAACAACACGCTGAATACTTGAGGTGACAGTTGAGACTTTGGGCTCTAGCACAACACTAGAAGTAGTGATGCATGCATATCAGTATCATCTTGCGCTTATTCTCCGTGTGTTAGCACTATGTTACCGTAACTTACGGTACAATACCTGTTACCTCAATGCGCGTGATCACGCTTCTTCATTCCACACTCCACAGTAAATCTCTGTATAAAAGAGTGCTTCTAGTAGTCACAAATTCTTGCCATTCAGTACTCTCACAACTTTCACTGATGAGATCTGTATGGTAGAAACAGCTGTGTGGTGGAATTGATACCAGTATCTATTAGAGCTGGGAGTCGTGTTGCTGGTGTAGTGAACGAGGTCGGCCGGAGAGTGCAGGTCGCGGGGAGTTTGGACTAAGTTGATGGTATACGAGAGTCATATGACAGTACACATGTTGCCCATAATATGGCAAAATTGTCTAGCCATATTTTGTCAGGTCCCTGACACTGAAATTGCAATACGCCTTAAATTACATGTTTACACAGTATTGGTGTGAGTAGCCAACACGTTGCAGCCTTTCACTGACTCTGTTTGTTTGTCTGCTTGTCTGTCTGTCTGTCTGTGTGTGTGTCTGTCTGTCTGTGCGCTTTTTTGATTGCTGACAGATGTACGTTTGATGGCTGTACGGCTAGCTTTGTGACGCCAAGCAAGCTGGCAGCTCATGTACAGCGCCACACCACGGCAGGTCAGTTACACCGTGCACACACGCACCGCTATTCATTATTGTGTTGTAAAGACAGATCGGCGAGCCTGGACGTGCACTAGCCCAGGGTCGCTGTTCTCTCATGTGAGTGCGGTGCAGTCCTAGTGTGCTGGTCCATGCACATTGAGGTCAACAGTGATCTTTTCCCTATCACCAGCGCTCAAAGGGTACTTGTGCAATGGTAGCATAGAAGTTGGTATTTCATGTTGTGCGTCCTCGTGTATTCCAGTTTCCCGGCTCCATACATGCACTTGACCAAGCTGAGCAATCTATTCTTTATACTACAAACAAGTTAAAGAACTCTTCCTCTCCTCTCCTCTATGCGCTCTCACAGCCGACTCACTGCTACCCTCGGTAGCCATTACACACACCAACAGCCATACAAGGAAGGGTTGCAGGTAGATACTGAAATTCCTACTGACAGCTGTTTCGCCTTCATAAGGCTCATCAGAGAAGGTGATATTGAATAGGATGATATCAGGTGGAGATGGTCAGATTTATACTACAAAACATGGGCGCAAGATTACGGGCAAAGTGTGAGAATTAAAAGTTACAATTCTCCAGCAACACAGTTAGTGTACGTTAATAATCTGAAGAAGGGCTGAGGCTTTCTGCAGCTTCATCTCTGCAGTAAGGAATTCAGGTGGACACACCCATTCCCAGGATGTGCACCACTGTGGAAATGGGTAAGTTAATAGCGTTTTTTTCCTTCACTTGCTTCTTTTTCAGGTTATATATGCTCATCGTCAGGATGCAACGTGTCCTTTGCCAAGTGGACGGAGCTGAGGTCGCATATTGCAGAGAATCACCGTACGTCAAGCCATACTAATCACGATGTTTGGTTGTTTGCACACTCTTCGGACAGTGGAGCTTACGTTGCATGTTTGATTGTGTGTGTCTGTTCACTGCATACGCGCTTGGAGTTGTCTATGTACATGAAGTGTACCTGCATTTTCGTGTACAAAGTATGTTATGGAAGTAGGGTCCAGAAGAAAGACAATTTGATATCGGTTCGAATGGCACATCTCTCGCTTGCATACGATAAGCCAAACTTGCCAAATCTCACGTTGCCATAGCGACCAGCGTCGTGACTTGAAAAGTAATGGTACGAAAGGCCCAGTCGAAACTATAATGCCTTCTGTGCTTCGTGTGTTGATTTGCTTTCCTCCAACCAAGAATCTAATATACCAATTGAAAATGACCAAATTCTGCAGTGATCGACCTTCTCTCTCTCTCTCACGGAGCTAAGCAGAACGTGCGTCATCACTGCGCTGGTCTCTATGGCAACGTGAGCATACAATTGGCGATTTGGCAAGTTTGGCTTATTGTATGTAAGCGAAAGATGTGCCATTCGAACCGTGGTCAAAAACCGAAAAGCATAGTATAAAGTAGTAGTACTTCATTCATCTTATTATAGTATATTGAGGTCGTCTACTACGCCGATCTCGATTAGAGGTGTAATTGCTGTTCCGGTGGCCGGCTTGGGACGATATAGACGGCCCTCATCTCCGGTGATGTCATACACCATAGAACTTGGGTTCCGAAGTTTTCGAGCCCTCGGATACAAAGAAAACACAGAGAAGCACAGTGTCCGGGCCCCTTGGTTAGCCTTATGGTATGCTTCTAAAAGTGTGGTGTGAATGTAACGTGACAGCGAAAACCAACATTTATGGCGAAAAAACTCATATTACTCGATATCGATCGATTGGGAAGAAATGCCGCCATTTAAACCTTCATATGGTGCAAATGTATGTATTATATATAAAATTGTGTTCTCTTTTTCTGTCCATGGCTTCCACGGAGCTCCTTATCAACAACGAAACGCGTCAGTCGTCGGATTCGCAAGTCACAGCCCGTGACGTCTTGTGTCTCGATAAGTGTCCCACACTTTTCCGATGTCGGATCATCTTGTCGTCCCACGACCCCGTATTATCCTGTCGTCCCACGACCCATAATATCATCTTGTCGTCCCACGACCCATATACTGCACACAACGCACCACACCCGTACAGACAGAAGACCATATTTGACACCGTACAGGACGAGACAGCGAGACCAGAGACAACAACGGGTGCAAATAATAAGCGTATCGAATTTCGCAACACCTGGTCCGCTTCTGTCCTGGGTTTACTACCCCGTGCATTGCAGCCGCGAGCAAAACCAGCTGAGGCTGAGAGTTCCCTCCATGATTGCTTGTCCAAAGCGCGCATTCTGAGCCCACTCAGATCGGTCATGGTCTTCAGTGGCATGTCTCTGGCAGCAGCGCTTGCCTTGATTCATAGCAGCAGCCGCGTTGTCCACCAGCAGCGCGGACTCACACGACTTTGTATCGCTTGTACTAGTATTCCTCGCACTACTGGGAGTGGAGCAGCCAAACTCCAGGTACTGTCCCAGACAGCCAACGACGTCCTTGACAGGAGATACATGAGAAACCTTCACCAAATCCGACTTGTACCGTCCAGCGGAACAAGTTAGGGGGGGGGGGGGGGGCGAAGTTCGTCAGAAAGTGGCGACTCGCCATCCAGCTTTCCTGTGCTATAGTCGCTAAGTGTGTCAGCCAAAGTCGAATCCTCGGACACAACAACGCCGTACCATGCCTTCGAAACGGTGAGGCCAGCTCAAACCTAAATAATCATAAAATGTATCTTGGAAGACAATCTTGAGCACACGAAGGAAAAAGGATAGCACACTACCAACTTCTGACGCACTACAAGAGAAATCTGACGGCTGACAACTCACTTTTGTTCGGGCGACGCACACATTTGGCTACATACTTCGTACGAGTACGAGTCGCTCGTACATGAATCACGCCAACAGCACCTGTTGCGGACAGTACAGCAGAGCAAGTCTTTCCCTCGTGATCGATCGCGCGGCCCCTACGACTCTGTGACCTGACTCACGTCAACACAAATCATGTCTACATGGATGACCTTGTACAGTGCTGGCAACTGAAATCCGACCCCCTGAGTGGTGCGCTCGCATCGCAAAGACCCAACACAGGATGATAAAACTACGAAACTGAGACCGCTAGAATGTGGACGCACCGCCAATGGGGTCGGGTCTCAGTTGCCAGCACTCTACTACAACTGCAGATCTACTACAGTCTACACGACTACATGTTTACTATTGTTTAGACAACACTACGACCTAGTACTACTTGTAGACCTACGTAGAGTCTACGTGCATGTAGACTGCATGCAGTGCATGTATGCGTGTTGTAGTGAGCAGCGCATGCTTGAAAAGCGTGCGCACCCACCCGAAAAAGTCAAGTACGCCGCTAGATTTGTACACAAACAGTGTACTTTAAAGAAACTGAGGCTCGGCGGGCCAAAAATTGGGGCGAACGCGGACGATAAACAATTTATTTTTTTTGCTTGGCCCAATAGGCTAATATACTGTAAAAGCAGAAATTTTCGGTGGTGTAATATTTTCGGTATTCTCCAAAATCGGCTTTTCGGTAAAACCCGTTCTCCAGGTAAGTGTACTAGTACTACATGTACACTGTATACAGAATTGGTTGTACCGAAATTTTCGGTGCGTTTTATTTTCGGTAAAAATTGTCGGCACCTATTTTACCGAAAATAAAACACCACCGAAAATTTCTGCTTTTACAGTACATATTTGTTCTGTCTGCTCGTGTATGTGTTGTAGAGAAGAAGGAGTGTAATGTCTGTCAGAAACAGGTCAAGAGCTGCCGTGTAAGTACTGTTGTACTGTGGGCGTGTAACAACATACGGCACATGTTGTCGTGTGCCATTTTGTCCGTAAATTTGGGAGAGTGAACCCTTTGTGTACGGATTAAAGGTACATAAGCTGAATTTGAGTTCAACTCACCTCGACGTTTGCCGCTCTCTGGGTCATCACTTGGCCTGGGCGATTTTTACCATCTTGTGCTTCCTGGAAAGCTTGTCGCACGAGGAACACACTTGGCCCACAATTGCTACCATGACGAGCATAACACCAGCCCCATAGCCCTGTTGTCTTAGTTACAACGGGATCAGACTCAATGAAGTGAACAAAGATATAAAAATCCTACTATCCAATCCTGCCCAGCCTAGGGTACAAACTGTTTGTTCAATTGCCCCTCGCTCGTTGTGTGCAGATGAGTCGGCATATGAGAATACACTCGGAGAGTCGCGAGCTATTCCCGTGTCCCTGGGAAGGCTGTACGAGGACTTACACCAAGGTACTGTGCTGCACCGTGCGCTGTGCTGTGTGTTTGGTGTTGCCTGTATGTCATCAGTCCGTTGTCCTGTGTTTTAATCCCACTGAACGTGTCACAAGTAGCCTGGTGCTTGCATTGTGCAAGAAACTCTGAGTTGCGACGAACTCTGCAAACCCCCTGTGTGCCTTTTGTGTGTACATAGTGCTCCACGTTATCGGTTACTTCCCGGCAGGTAGTGAGACAACTGGATACTAGCACTGGATGCCTGGCCATTGGTCTACACGTGCAGCATGCCTATCATATGGCTACCTGTGTGACTGTAGTCAGTGTTTGGGACTGCTGGTTACTGTAAGACCAGTAATGTTAGCGAACATTTAATTCTAACGATTTAACGAATTTTTATAAATTCGTTAACATTTGAAATCGCTATGTGCGAAACGATATGTACATGTACAGTCATTTGCCGGTTTTGAGACGGAATTTGTTAGAATTTCACCCCGCTAAAAACAAAAATTCGGAGATCGTTAACTTTTTTTTAAATTGACGTTAGAATATCTGGTCTTACAGTAAGTGCTCCTGGGTGTTGTACTTCCCCTGCTGAGCACCTCACACCTTTCAGATCTTGTGTCAATGCGTACGATTCTTGTTTTCCAACCCCTTCCAGGTCTACAATCTGCAGTGTCACGTTCAGTCCTTTCACGAAAACGCCCGTCCGTTCAAGTGCACGGTGGAGGGCTGCAAGAGATCCTACGCTTTGAAAGTAAGAGCTGCGGTGATGCATACGATTGCAGCCATCTGTGCGCAGCGGTGATGCTCAAATGCGGCCATCTGAGCACAAGGGTGATGCTCAAATGCGGCCATCTGTGCACATGGGTGATGCTCAAATGCGGCCATCTGAGCACATGGGTGGTGCTCAAATGCGCCCATCTGTGCACATGGATGATGCTCAAATGCAGCCATTTGTGCACATGGGTGATGCTCAACTGGCCATCTTTTCACATGGTTGAGGCTTGAATGCGGCCATCTACTGTAAAAGCAGACATTTTCGGTGGTATAATATTTTCGGTATTCTCCAATAATCGGCAGTTCGGTGGAAGGAAATGTTCGGTAAACCCGTTTTCCAGGTAATACTATGTACTAAGTTAGTACTCATACCGAAATTTTCGGTGCGTTTTTATTTTCGGTAAAAATTTCGGCACAGAAGTTACCGAAAATAAAACACCGCCGAAAATCTCTGCTTTTACAGGATGCACATGGTCATGATGATGGTGGCAGGGAATTGTGGCCGATGGAGGAGATGCTAGTGTTCTGCTATCCGCCACTCTGGTTCTGGGCAATGAAATTAAATTGGTGTACATGTACGGCGTATTAAAAAAAAGTTTTGTTTTTTCACAGCTGAGCGGAGCGAAAGAGTGCAAGAAACGTATTTTTCACTCACAAATATTTTCATGTGTTTGCTCTTGTTCTGCGCAACTCCGTTGAACCTGCCATCGTGGTCTTTGTTTTTCCTCGTGGTAGTTGAAGTCGTGAGTGTGATTGCTCTGGTAGACCACTACCCCATGTACTGAACAGTTGCTTTGTGAGTGAAAAGCACTGCTTTCTGCCTACAAAGCTGTGGCCAATATCCTACTTACACTGGAATCATCTGCCTCTCGACGGACTGTGATTATATGCTAGGGGTGAAACGAACAAGGAATTTTGAATACAAACGAACTCCCACACTAACGAACGAACTCGAACAAATATTCTCTAATAAATGTAGTTACCAAGACAGTATAGCCGGGTGTTCGCTCGATTTTTATTTGGCCAGTATTTGCAGAATTCATAAAGTTGTGATGGTAAACAAACCCTGTAATGCACGACTGTGTGTTCATCGTGTAATACAGTACTTGTGCACAATATTATTAATATTGCAAAAACAAAGGAAGAAAGAAATTGCAGATTGGAGAGGCACAGTTCCAGTGGCACCGACAACGGTAGCGATTGCAGCTACTAAAGATCTGGAACTGGCAGGACAGTAGTTGCCTAGACCTGAACAACCTCCTCTTCCGAAACCTCATCAAGCTCAACTACAGCAGCCTGCTTGACGACAACTCTCCCTGCAGCCCTTGTGCGCTCCTAAAGCGCTGGTTCTGTTGGAGGAAGATCAGCGTGTCGATATTCACCGGTGACAGTGCCGACCCGGAGCTTGGACACGATGTGCCCTGCTGCCGAAAACACCCACTCGGACGGCACAGAAGTCGGAGGGGCACACAGGACCTGCCTAGCCACCTGGCTTAGCAGACTGAACCGGGATTCGTGCATGCGCCACCAGCTCAACGGATCCATGGATGAAGGTGCCGCCTTCTCGCCGAAGAAGTTGGCAACATCCTGCTCAGCTTGAATACTAGCAGACACTTGTGCATCATCAGCTTCGCCGAAGAAGAGGTCAAGGTCGTTTGCTGGCCTCTTCGCAGGTGGCTCAGCAGTAGCACTGATGTTGTCATCACCAACCTCTGCCTCAGGCGATACCAGCATGCAACGGTGGAGTATCTCGTGGCGGAGTTCCTCACGCTGCGCCTCATCCAAGAAGGACAAACTGCGCGAGCGAGGATTGAGTGCAGCTGCAATGGCCGCCGTGCCCTCCACATACACAGACAAGTTGAACTTGCGCTTAACCTCCTCAGCCAGCTGAGCACAGAATGCTTTCACGCATGTTGACGACTGCTCTGCTCGTGTATGCACTTTCGCTGCAACGAACAAGTGATGTCGTTATTGGCAGCACAGAAGACATGGCCAGGTACTGCTGGCCCCTGAGGACTGCCATTGCCTTCTCATATGGTCGAAGGACCGACACCAGCTCCTCTGCCAATGCCCAGCGCTTCTTCAAAAGGAACACAGCAGCCAGAGACCATCTGCCATTCACGCAGGACCTGATAAAAACACAAAGACCCTGTCTGCCCACCAACCAGACCTTCAGCTCACGCGCTGGAACACAATCGTGGGAAATGCATACAAAACCTTGATTATAACCTGTTTACATTACACTCGCGCCACCTCACCAATCACGCAAATATTCCACAATGTGAGAGGACAAAATAATAAGAATAGAGAGAGTAACACCCACGAGCTGTGATCTGTGGAAGCGGCTTTAGTACTCATCATCTCGGATGAAGAGCAAATAAGAAAACGAAAAGGACACATGCTCGGTGTGGACGGCTCTTGACCCTCGTCCTCGAGGAGAGCAACTGATAAATAAACGAAAAATTTGAGCAAGTGCACAAGTGACACAGTCCTAACCACGCACACTCGACACAGATACAACAATGAACGTATTGTGGTCTACAACAAGCTCTCGACTGAAACGCCTACCGCAATGTTAGTAGGCTGGCTATCACCGCGCGGCCTCTGGTGCACTTGTCCTCGTGGCTTCATTCTACGAACTACTCGTACTAATGACTTCCAGCACTTGTCTTTGGGAACAGATGCGCAGTAGCCACAGGCAGCGACTTGACGGAGGACGACTTGCGCTACTTGATGAACGGCCCGGAGGACGACTGACAACCGGACGACGACTGGAGATGACACTTGCCAGGGGAGTTGGGATCCAGGGCCCGCAGGTCGAATTCAAAAGGAATAAAAATTCCACCACCGCTGCCACCAAATGTAATACACGACCAAGTGGTAAGGCAAACTGGTTCAGTCTCTCACCACTCAGAGCACAAGTAGTAGTCACAGGGAATACTATTGCACGAAAAGACAAACGTAGGCAACGCAGAACTAAGTAGTTAGGTAGACAGAAAAACAAGACTGAAACGGAAGGGAAGACTAAACAACAACAACTGAACTGGGAAACAGAAAGACGGATCTATATAAGAGATTGAAGTCCAGCTACAGCTCCGAGCGCTAGCTAGCGATCTCTAAATGAAAGCAAGGGACCGGATGGTGCAAGAAATGAATAGTGCAGTACATGGTAACAAGAGTACATAGTGGTTTGTGCAGGAGAAAGTCCGTCTACTACACGAACGTTTCGACATGACTGCGAGAAATTACGACAACCGGGGAACGTTCACTTTCAATAACAAATGTCAAAAATGACTATTATGTCAGTAATCTGATTGAACCAAATTGAGGAGGGAAAGGAGAGAGGGGGGGGGGGGGGGAGGGGGAGTCTAACAACTCATGATATGGGTGCATATGTCATGTTGTTCCTGGTGATGTGCTTTGCCTGTGTCCGTTATCAGGTATCACTGGACAGACATGTTGCGAATCACAGCCGGCCGAAACGACAGTCTAAGGTGAGCGCCGCTCGCTTGTTTCTCTGTTCTTGCTAGTTGTGTGCGCGTGTGTGTGTGTGGGGGGGGGGGGGAGGGTGCGTGCGTGTGTGTGTGTGGGGGGGGGGGGGGTGCGTGTGTTTATTGTATGATGCATGCCATACCAGTGTTGTGAAATTATGTTTGCCTCTAGCAGCGGCAGCAGCAGCAGCAGCGGCAGCAGCAGCGTGTAGGAGCTAGTATAACTGTTAGGCATACGTGTTAAGTGTCAAGTTGGGCAGCAAGCGTGTGTTCCTCGTTGGAACAACCAGCTTCATCACTAATACCGTACAGTGCAGGCAGAGCGCCCCACCATCTCGTCCTTTCGTGGTCGTATTGTGGAGGTGGTGTCCTGTCTGTAGGTCATACGACACGGGCCTTGTACACACATTTCACATTGTGCAGTCAATGCGTACTCAATTTACTTTCGAGCAGACACGAGATTCACACAAAAACCTGCTAAGTGTGACCTTAGTACACTAAGGTGCTCACTCCGTACAAACTTAGTGGCACTCTGCCACACGATTATCCTTTCCCTGGCTGTAAAATCAAGATGGGGCGCTCTCGCGAGACCGGGCGCTCTGGCTGTACTTTACAGAAGTCGCAACTTTGAAGTATGTACGTGTAACCGTACAATCATATTAAAACTTCGTGAACACGATTCTAGAACCTACACTGCTGATGTAGTTCTTGCACCAGCACCAGCACCAGCTCTGTTTGTGAGGACGGCGGTCACCCACACTGCACCATCTACACTGAATCTCCTGGCACCCGGATAGCAGCAGTGTACATACATGTACTGCTGTCTGCCATGTGGCATGCCCAGCGCCATACGAGCATGTTGTACAGGTTTCAGAAATTCAGATATACGGATGCACGCACAGTCAGCTACCTGACTGGCGAGTGGAGAGGTACAGCGCAGCTCTCCTTGCCAGTCTGTTGGCTGACACTGGCTGTTGGGTGACACTGGCTGTTGAGTGCCCCTGTCACTTCTGCCTGGTTGTCGTCACTGCTGTGCTGCTGTCCTAGATCGTTATCTTCTCTGCACACATACTGGGCAATCTTGGGAAAGAAGACTAATACCACCTTCAAATACTGTGCTCCTACTGAAGTGTACCGTAATGTCGCGTGCATTAGCCGGGGCTTATATGCCTATAAGCCGGTGATGGAGTCAGGCTTGTACACAAGACAGGCTTATACACGAGACAGGCTTATATGACAAGCACCACTCAATGACCAGGCTTGTATGCGCAAACTGCTGACTTTTGGACGTCAAAACCAACATTTTCCAACGGGATTTTTTCTTTTTTTTTCGCAAGTGTACGGTACCATGCAAACATGAACATGTAAAAGGCGCGCTCACCAGTCTTGCGTAGTAGCCCGGCTTACGCACGCGACACGTGGCGCGTCTCGTGTACTGGCCCGGCTTATGCATGCGACAGGCTTGTACGCGAAAAGCTGTTGCAGATTTCATGCTTCTACACGAGACAGGCTTATGCACAAATCCGGCTTATGCACGCGACATTACGGTATTATAAATGGTGTATGACTTATTGTGTCAATATGTCAGTACATGTACTATTAGCCAGTCCTGTCCATGCACACCTGCTCAGCTCAGGTACAATGTATATGCATAATTATGTACCAAGGTAGTGGCCCTCCCTTCCCCTCTCTGATTGTGCATACAAGAAAGAGTGGGGGGGGGGGGGGTACTAGTTGCCCAGTTCAGTCTGCCCCTAGGCCTCTTGAACCAGCTACTATGTAACGTTATTAGTTATTACTTGGACATTGGTGACTGGGGCCCAACCAGAAGCAGAAGACTGCCAGAGAGAGAGAGCTTGTCTATGTGAAATAGTGTCTGGATGGAAATCTTTGTTGTCGGCTGGGATTGATACATGTGCTACAAGTACTTGTTTGTGCTGTTGAAAGCAGCTATGCCCTGGTGTAAAGTGTTGGCTTCCATCTCTTCTCCATGTACGTACATGTGCATTCATTGACCTCAAGTGCTTGTTGTCAAGTGGACAGCTGCACCAGAAAGCCAAAGTGTGTCCTGATCAAGTTGTGGTGATTCTGTCTGGCTGTGGTGAATTGGAAGTCTGGGTGGGTCCTGTTGGCACAGTGGGAATACGATTACTGCATTAGTACTGGCTGGTACAGGCTCCGACTACTTCACATCCCTTTGTCACTTTCCATCTGCTTTGAAGTGCACTGGTAACAGAGCACCCAGTAGTGTGTCAGGCGCGTAGCACCACCCTTGGGGGTGGTCCTGCCCCACAGGGGGTTGGGGTGTCTCTCTCTCTTTCCCCCCCCCCCCCCGGAAAATTTTGAAAATAGGGTGCAAAATCCTGCATTCTGGGCACGTTTGGCATCGCGTTACTACCAAAGCTAGACTGGCCGGACCGGCTGCTACGGCCCTGTGTGTGTGTGTGTGTGTGTGTGTGTGTGTGTGTGTCTGTGTGTCTGTGTCTGTGTGTGTGTGTGTCTGTCTGTCTGTCTGTCTGTGTGTGTGTGTGTGTGTGAGAGAGAGAGAGAGAGAGAGGGAGAGAGAGAGAGAGGGGGGGGGGGGGGGGGAGGAGGGGTGAGAGTGAAAGAGAGAACTCTGTGGCAGGAACAGTCCACTATGGTGCATATCTTTTTGGGGTGGGCAAATGGTACAGTCATTCATTGTAGGTACATGCACTCCTTCTCTTAAGACAGCCAGCAGCCAGATCATCCTGAACTTAGAGAACTGCTAGAGTGCAGATTACCAAGGAGGAGATCAAAGGATAGTATTCATTATCTCCTTGCAGCAGGCAAGCACGCCTTGCAGATGTAGGGAACCCCTCAGCTGGCTGATATGCTCCACATCTTCTGACTGAATATGGCTGACTGCACAACTTGAGTTATGTCCAGGGGCTGATGACATGGTCCTATTAGCTAGTACATGTAATATTCACGGAGGGCATGAATCATTGAATGAAGACAGATAATGATTACTGACTGGAAGGAGTGCTAGAGCTGGTGGTAATCCTATTGATTATTCCTCTCAATCCAAGGAATGTTTGATAATTGATGGCCCTTCAGTTGCCAGGCCAGCTAACCTTGCAGCAGGGGAGGTGGGGGGGCACACTTAACTCCTACTCGGCAACCTGTTTTAGCTCTCTCTCAGAGTCACTGCCAGGTTGTAAGATGTGGATGTTTGCTGTACTAGTGCTGGGAGTGCTCTGCGGCTGTTGTGTGTGCCAGTCTGGCTCTACGTACGTCTCCTCAGTGTTGTTCCTGTGTCATGTTACTTTGGATTGATCACTTGTCCCATCTCAAGTGGCTGCCCTGAGTGCTGCAGGCAGATTTAAATTGATTTAAATTGCCTGGGCCCTTCAAGAGGGCACTTTTCATCGGCTTACATGAGTTTTTTTTTCAGTCTATTCATCAATCCAATGCCCCACAATGGTAGTGTGTAAACACTGACTGGTACTCCTCATCAGTGTCCAGTCCACTCCTTTTTCTCTCAGGAATGCAAAGCTGTTCCTGTTCTTATTGCATCAATGGGGATGTCTTCTGCAAGGATGCCAGCCCAGTAGCACCTGTAAGGAGCTCACTGATCCAGTCGTGATGGTCAGTCCCATTACATGGCCGGACTTGGGTGCAGATCCTGTTTGGTGCCCAGCTAGCTAGTGGTAGTGCTAGTAGTGCCAGGTTACTGGCCTTGTCCGTCTAAAATAGGCACAATCAGGGATTGGTATTGCTGTATGCGTGGCTCCCTGTCTTAAGTTATTGGTGTGGATGGGGGGGGGGGGGGGGGGGGCATGCTGCATCTTAGATGTGGACATCATGTCTAGCTGAAGGTGTTGTGCTTTTGAGGAGTACCGGCTGCCACATGTGTTGTAGGACAGTTTTCAAAGCACACATTGAACTTGAACTTGAAGAACAGTTACATTGTGTACATGCCCCCCTCCTGACACCAATGACTGACATTACCTTTGTGGAAACCTATCTTGTCACCACAGTGCTCTGGTACCTGTATGTGAATGCCATGTACAAACAGGGCGGATGGAGGCAGCTAGATAGAGTGCTCAATGCACAAATGTGCATAGCAATATGCACACAGGGAAGGTGAAGCATGATCCTTTTAGAACAGACCTTCCCCTTTGGATGGTATGTGTATGCCATGTACATGTACTTATTGTAGTTGATGGTTAGGGTGGAGCTGTAGCTTTGACTACCTGTGCTGTAGGTTTGCTGCCAGCACAGTTGTTTATCTGGGTCTGTGCCGCTGGGTTCTCATTCCCATTCTCTCAGATGAGTTCTGCTTTGTAAAGTAGTGTCCGCCTGGGTTAGCTATTGACTAGAGAGTGACCCGGTGTTTTTTTAATTTTGTTATGTGTTTAATTTTGTTACGGCTGGCAGCTACTTGCATGCAGTGACTGTGCTGCTGATTCAAGACATGGCTAAATGGTGTCAGGAGTAGTGCCTTTCTATTATGGCACCATTGGGGTGCATAGTAATGATGCTTGTCCATTTGAGTAGGTTGAGCTATCTACTTCTGTACATTGTATTCAAGGACTACTAATGCAAACATTGACTGAGCCAATGGGCAGTCTCTTTGCCTTGATCACTTCCCTTTTTCTAGTAGTAATACCCTTTCTGGGTCTGTTGTTCAGTCAGTGAATCTTTGAGTTAGTGCCTGGATGCGTAATTGACGGTACTTGAGCCTTGAAACAATTATTTTAGGGGTGAAAGTTGGCACTGAGATCCGGAGTTCCAGTACTCTGAGATTTTCTCCGATTGAATATTCGAGTATTTGAGTATTCTTGATATCCTAAAAATCACACCCCAATGGCCTCAAAAATCACATTATACAACCCTGATGAACAGATTGGCAGTTCTTTTCTGGGGTGTATTGGTTGGTGGGTCATTTGGGCTCTCTCTCCTCGTGTACAAATGTTCACCACACAGTCTGCACATCAATATCTGCTGACTGCTGCTCTGAAACTGCGGACTTCTGTGGTAAATGCATGTACCATGTATGAGCGAGTACTCTGATTTATTCCGAGTACGATTATATTTGAAAAATCCAAACGAGTATTCGAATATTCGGTATAATTGTTTCACCCCTAAATTATTTAAAAATGTGTTTTTCACAGATGATCAGTATAACATGCTAGTCCACAATGTAGATCCTGGCACTGACAGGCTGTTCTATTTTTGGCCAGGCTGTGCAGCTACTGAGCATGCTGGGTGGCTCAGTTTCTGCACTGTTCTGCACTGTTGATGATGCTGAGCAATGCTTGCAGTACATTGTAGATCTTGGACTTGGCTGCTGTCCTGTGTCCTCTTGATAATTGAGACTGCTTCAAGTGCATCAGGTTCTCAAGAGCGATTCTAAGTTGGGCTCCACATTTTGTAGTGTGGTGGGTCTGCAAGCTGGCACCTAGGTAACATGGGCTTCCAGATTGGAGTGTCAAGAGAAGCTAGATTGGCGTGTGGAACTACAGGATTCTCTTGTGCTTTGACTATCCTGGGCCGGCTCCAGCTTCTGATTGGAAAAAATGTAGTGGGGGCAATGGGCGGGTAGTGTGAGAGCACTTAGCATGGTGTGATGTGTGTGGGGGGGGGGGGGGGGGCATCTTGCAGCTTCTCCCTGTGCTCAGTAGTGACTGAGTTGGGTCCAGATGCAGTATGTTGTGCGGCAAGATCATTAGCCTAGGGTGGAGTGGCTCCCATTCATGCCTGGTCTGGCATTCTAGGTATGTCTGAACAATGGTTACACAATGACCATTGTCATCCGTCAATATTGTTCTCTGATGGCAACAATGACACAAAATACTTGGCTGCTCAGGACCCGCCATAGATGGTGTTGGGCCGGCACTGCAAGTGATAGCAGGTTCTTGTGGACGCGCATCCTCATGTCTCTTAGCACCACTGCGTTGTGTGCATCAAGTACCTGGCTGTTGGGTTGCCTGTCTGTCCTGTTGCACTGCCCCATTGGTGCCAGGTTGTTGTTGCTTGTTTTTATTTTAGTTCACCAGATAGTAGTACACAGGCATCTCTGCCTTCTCATCTAACCATAGGGCTAGACTGTCAATAAAGGATGAATGTTTCACCTGTCAAATGTGTTTCCTGGCCGGCGAGCTGTTATTCCACGCTTACTGCTGCATGCCACAGTGCACGCACTTTTTGTGGATGGAGATTCTGTGTTGGTTTGGCTGTCACATTCTCTCTATCTCTTTCTGCTGCTGTGCTTACCCATGCTGCATGGCTGAATCGTTGTCATGTTGTTGTACATTGATCGTGCATGGCATGTGCACGAAACTATCTCTGTTCAATGTCTTACTATACTATTAACAGGGCCAGCTGAATCGGCATTAACGTTTCATTACGGTTTACAGTTAACTTGTACTGTACATGTACACGTGATGCGATGTGATGTGATGTGATGCGATGCGATGTGATGTGGACAGAGGAAAGTGTGACCGCTCGATTAAATATGACGTGCTGTAAAAAATTCTGATGATATTGAGGCTTCACTTCAGCTACCCGTACTTACTAAGTCCTATTATCTTCCATGCCGCCGCACTTATGATGGTCTCAGTCTCTTGCCTACAACAATACAACATAGTCAAACGTAGTCATTAGTTTGAGGGATAAGGTGCAGACGGAAAATGTGCCAAACGTCTGAAGAAAAATTGACTGTCACCACCAGGACTCTCGAACCAAGGGCCCTCGCTTATGCTCTACTACTGAGCTACATGTACATGTATGTCTAAATCAAAAGTAGAATCAGAATTATCAGGTCGGGCCCAAAGCAGCTAAAGCAGGAGACAGTTGTACATGTGTCAATAAACTCATCCCACGTGGGCATTCTGAGCTCTCGCTTGTATCAGGTATCTGCTCCAGCTTTCCTCAACGACACTGACATGGGTATGGAAGAGATGACCTCATCGCCAATAATGATAATGAGCAAGTGTATGTATGCAGCTCGCAACTGACACATGTTGCATTCAACGTTTTGCCATGATGAAAAGAAATCAATCAAGATATGTGGCAGCTGATCCCAGCATCCCAGTATCCCCTCTTGAACAACCATTCATGGGGGATCAGTAGTATCTTGATCCCTACCTGCAGTGACAGGCTAGCCTACAATATAGTACATGTTCAAGCACTTCAACCTGCGTGCTTGGATCTTTGCCCAAGATGGAGTACATTGTATTTGAGTTTTCATCGTGACGTAAAATTTGCCGGATTTATGGCAGCCATTTTGAGGGCACACTGGCACCTTCCAGGGAGTCGTAAAATACCGGTATTTTACGACTCACTGGTACATTCTGTATACCATAGTGCTGGATCTGATTCTGCACAGTCTTCTAGTACTAGTAATAATATATGTACTCAAGTAGTTGACACACAAAGTGTACCTGTCTATCCTGAACTGATCTATCTTCTTTCTACGTGTTGTTGTTGTTGTTGTTGTTGTTGTTGTTGTTGTTGTTGTTGTTGTTGTTGTTGTTGTTGTTGTCGTCGTTCATTACGTTATCTTGCTCAGCCGAAGAAGAAGTTGACGGCGGCGCACCTTCTATCTGGTCACTTCACACCGCATCGCAAGATGACACGCAACCTATCCTCACCGCCCACTGCTGGCGCTGTAGACTCTACTGAAGTCGACCCTGCTGCAGTTGCACTCAGCGGCGACGAAGAGGAGATGAGTGAGGAAACACAGTCCGACACGTCGGCCAGTGACTGGACAGCACCGTCGGATAGTGAAGAGGAGGAAATGACCGATGACTCGTGACGAATGGAAGCTGTGTTAGACCTCTAGCCTTTTGGAATTTCATCGACACCCAACAGACATCTTTAGCAGTATATTGAATTCGCTGGTGGTGGATGTGTGGCTATTATGTCACAAGGTAACTTATCGTTAAGTCGGTATAGCCGCCTGGTAATCATCTTCATGTTCTTGCAGCCATAGTGACATGCCAGACAAACGTAGTGCCGATGATGTAAGCTAGTCTTGTACTATGACATGGTGACACTCGTCCTAAAGCCACTCCTGCCAAGCAACATTGCTTCATTCGTCCACAACTAGACCTGTTGAGCGGTCATTGCTTCAGCTCTCTGGGCCCGTACCTGCCAAGTATGCACTGCTTCAATCGGCCCCGACTACTACGGCTTAGCGTGTTGAGCAGCCACACAACCAGATCACCTGAAGTGGTACTAGAGCAGTGGCATACCATACGGTACAATGCAGTACGGTGTACAAAGTAAATGTCAGCTGGCCAGGATCGGACCGAGTATTCCCTCAAGAAGACCAGTGCCGATGTGTCGGTGGACAATTCGCACAGCTGCCTGCTCACAGTGGGGTGCGTGTACTCTTAGCGGGCGGCAAGCTGCGTGGACGGTCGATGTTGCGCAGTGCCGCTGAGTGCATTTCTGCCATGCCTCTGGAATGACACTGGCCTCATAGAATATGCTAATGGGATCGCCGGTTGCTTCACGTCTTCGTTCAATTGTGTTAGTCGGATTGCCCCAGATGTTCAATGACCAGCAGCCATGTGACCACCTTCCAGTCACTTTCTCTCCTAGATAATTGGAATTCTTTTCAGATGTGAGACGCAGGTCTGGTTTGAATGCTTCATCCAAGAAGGCATGAGTAATCACCGGCGTCTCTTCACGCAGGATCTGTAAGGCAGGCCAGACAACAATGAGCATCGCCTCCGCGAAGATGGCATGTTTGTCCTGGTTGTGTCCCCTGATTGTTAGCAGTTGAATCGAGGTGGAGATGATACCTGGTTGGATTTGTATACGCTGATTCGACTTGACCTGCATTATGATGGCAGTTTGAACCGGGTGTAGCTTGTGCTGGCTATGTCAGTCTCATACGTAGTCAGTGCCAGAAATGTCTTTGATACTACGTCCCTTCCAGGTGGCAGAAGGACACTCCACCTAGCAATATGTCAGCTGTGTAGTTTGCTGTGTGTGCGTATCCAACCAGCAGGGCGGGGTGTGATGATTCCAGAGATATGTTCCAGAGTGAGACTGATGGGCGTATGAATCAATAACCCGCAATGGCCGAATTGACACGGTGTCCAATGTCGTAGAGCAGGTATTCTCTACTTCAAAGTAGTATCTGAGTGTGCTTCAGATTTGGTTTTTTGAGTCCATGATGGTGATTCATCGACATCGACATTGTTTCTTTTGTTCCCGGTTTGGTTGACTGTTCGTTTATTTTTTTGACACCAATGTCAGAAGCTATCAATGCATTCTTTATCCAGGTGTGTACCAGGGAGTAGTACAATACCACTCCCTGGTGTGTACTACCTGACATTCAATGTGGCCTGCAATTGTTAAATTAATGCGGCAAGCTACATTGCACTTAGAAATGTTCGTTGTTTGGAGTCTTGCAAGCAATCAGCCAGTCCCTACTGCAGAACTATATACATGTATGTGAGCTGCTTAAATGTTGCTTTGCTCCACAGCTACTAATACTTGCGGGCTCATGGATTTATTTCACCTGGTGCATGCCTCGCTGGCATGGCACCAAGTGCTTTCTTCTCAGTTTCTGCTTTTTTAAATTCTCTCCTTGCTGGCTTCTCTGCCCCCCCCCCCCCCCCCCCCCTCTCTCTTTTTCAATCTATCACATCTGGAAGCTTTGTACTGCTTGCAATCATCATCTTGGTCTGTCATTGAAGGCCATACAGCTGGAGGGTGCACGCAGTCTGGAACTAACTGGGAGCATCCATGTACAATGCTTGGCCGTTTCAAGCTGTAGCTTTCTATAATCCGTGCTCTGCCGGTTTGGATTTGTTTCGGGATTCGCCAAAAACTGTATGAGCGAGTCCAAGGGGTGGACAGTGTCCAGATACATGTACATGTACATGCCGTGTACTTGTACCGGTATATCTAAAGTAACTCGTGAGCAGGGAGTAGTAAAATAGTGGTAAGATACCGGTATTTTAGGACTCCCTGCTCATGAGCACGAGAGAGGCCTTTGCACAGTTTGACATTGCTAGGTGAGATGATGTCACTTCTCATACTAGTAAATTTTCTTTCTATGAAAGTGTGTAGAAGTAGCGCCTTTCAGCCCGGTTTCTCCTTCTATCTCAGTACTCACTTCGCATACCGTATTTCCACAAATAGTAGGCCGCTCTTCTATTTCTTCAACCTCGCCCTAACCCGGCCTTATAATCGAGGAAGGTCTTGTATTCGAGCACCGTCTTTTATTCTTTCAACCCAGTTTGACCCCGGTCTTCTATTTTTCGCCACACAGTTTTACCCCCATTCTTCCATTTTCTTCTACACAGTTTGAGCACGATCTTCTACTTTTACCCACAGCAGTACAGTTTGAGCACGGTCTTCTATTTTTAACACAAGTTTGAGACTCATTTAGTAGGCCCGGTCTTCTATTCGGAGACGGTCTTTTATTTTTTCAATCGCATACTGCCCCAGCCTTGTATACGAGGAAGGCGTTGTATACGAGGACGGCCTTTTATTTGCGGAAATACGGTAATTATCATGGCTGTATTTGAGTTCGAAGGGCTTGATAAATGTACCAAGATCAAACATGCTACATGTAAAAAGAACTGAGAGTGAGAGAGTGAGAGAAAAGCCCAACCCTGCCCTGCCAGTTACGTGGACTTACGGGGGTCGCCATGGCAAATGATAATGAACAATGCGTAATAATACAAAGCACACCATAATAACTTTATTTAATACTATTATATTATCTAATAGGATGACCGGGGCCTTTGACCCAAAGGCTGACCGCCTATCGCGTGGGGCCCGTCGCATTGAAGGATGATGGTACAAGAGAGTACAGATTGGGAGGGGAGGGGGGGGGGGACTACATGTACACGCATTAGTTATTATGAAGTGAAACACCCTTATCAGCTATTCGCTGCCTTGTCATTGAGCAGTTGTGCTCGTTTGGATTTGCGACTTGAATTCGAGTATATAATATCAACCTTATCTTCTGAAAATTGTAGTCAAGTTGCTGTCTGATGATCGGTTAAAACTTAAAACCGTGAAACTCAGAGTTACAGAAGAAACGCTTTTCGTCCCTCTCAAGTCACGGTGTGTAAAGTATACATTTACATGTACAAATAAACAAACAGTTCAAGACCGAATGGCAGCTTCAGCGGTTACAAGAGCAGTATTTGAGTAGGGTCCTCATTCCTTACCATATTCTACCTTTCATGCAATTGTACATGGCATGTTTGTTTATATTTTTATCGTTCACGAAAATGACCTGAGGCATTTTATACCTTCTCACCGACTGTGACCCGTTCTCAGTGTGTGAGTGGTGTTCCAATCCTCTACCATGGCAAATTGTGTTTTGTTCGCCCATAAACTTGACAGGATGTTTCTACCACTAAAGAGGCCTTGGCTGGGTTGTCCTATCTCCGATCTGAAACTAATTATTGCTACTTGTTTGGTTGAAGCGACTACGTCATTCATGATCCCTTCCCACTTTGTGTACGTGCTCTTCATTTTCTTTTTTCTTTTCTTCCGTGGTTGGTCTCACCCTCTCCTCAATTCTAGCCGGCTGTCTTGACATGCCACGAGGTGCAGAAATAAAAAAAATGATTTGCACCAGAGAGTAGTAAAATACCGGTATTTTACTACTTCCTGATTTGTACCACTACTGCCGAAAGTGCAATGTCGCCGATTGTCGAGTTCTGACCGTGATCGCTGGACTAGACATGCAGTCCGGGTACTAGTACTACCGGACCGGGGTAGTGCACTTACAATCTTCCAGCATGGTCTATTGGGCGGTTCTTGTTAGCTGGGAGTTTTTGATCACCCACATTGCCTGCTGGAATCAGTCCTCTGGACAAATTGCAACTGTGCAGTACATCATGTTCAGTTGTATTTGGGTTCTACTGGGCTCACCTCGTAAAACCTACCTCCAGTCAGAGTCCAGACTTACAGGTACATGTGCAGTGTAGCTATGTATGCAGGACAGTGCAGGATTTACATGTACGACTCAGGCCTGTGCATGCTGGCTCAAACCAGGGGCTTTCACGACTCCCCGGTACATGTAACTTCCTGAGAAGAGGGCCTATAGCTATAGCCTGGGGAGGAATGATGCATGGCATTGTTATGAGTTTTGCCCGCAGAAGAGCTGGCGGTTCCACTGTCAAAAAATGTCAACACGTTCACGACTTGTACATCATGTGCATGTACATGTAGTGTGAAAACTTCACACTAAGTCAGTAAGTGTACCTGGCTCGGCTGAGTCGGCTCAGAGATGATTGTAAATACGCTGCCCGCCCGTTGACACCTAGTACCTACATGTACATCATGTACAGTGTACACTTGACAGGAGGTGGGGAAGCTTACCCGACATTTCTGCTTTTGCCAGAAAGCGTCATTGAGCTCCGGAGGAGGGCAACGGGGGGGGGGGGGGGGGGGGGGGTTGGGGGGTGGCGAATATGAGCTGCGGGACTTTTCTTGTTCTTCTAAGTTCTAGTCTAGTGTTCTTCTAGTCAGTTCAACATGTACAGTCTTGTAACAGTGACTAGCCTGGCCTCAGGACATGGTTGGATGTCAGTCAGCGGCAGTGCCACTGCGAGGGGATCTCATACCCAGAGAAATGTCATAATTATGTTCGGGTAAGAGTACACGACTCAAGAGTACAAAGAAAGAAAACAAAGAAAATAAAAGAAGCAGACACAGCACAAGTCAAGGTGTTGTTGATATGCCATCAGCGTAGCGAGTGTATCGGCGAGAATGCTGCATGGAAGAGGGACTGTTTGAATTCGGGAAGACGGGTTATGAGAAGTGGAAAGATGGCACTGACCCCATCACGTCGTTTCTCTTTCCTGTTTCTTTCCTTCATTATTCATTTCATTGGTGGGGTTGTGTTCGAGGAAACCGGATTGTTTTGTATTAAATTAAGAGGATAATTTCCATGCACTACACACCTGTGTCATAGCCCGAGAGTGAGGGCTTGTAACTTTTAACTACTGCTGATAGCTACTGTGCGTAGAACGTGGACACACTGTGTCTTCCGGACCGTAGTTGGAACAGTTATTATACAATATAATATACGGTGTGTGCCGGCGAGGTCACCTACCCAGTGAGACTGTAAAATGATAGGTTTGGCTGCTGTCAATAGATGAAGCGCACGACTGTGCATTTGCAGTAGAAAGTGCAATACCTGTAGTTATGAATTCGCTTTATAGTAGTAGTAAGCTA